TTAACATTGATCCTACCGGCGGACCGGTATCCCAGTTGTCCTTAACACTAGCTACCTCCACACTTAACTCTCGTATCCGTTCAAGAGGACTCTCTGCACGTGAACTCTGGTTCCAACGGGACCAATTCACTAACGAACAAATTGATTTCAGTGACCTCCAACTTATCTCTCAACAGCACCAACAGCGACAGGACAATCACCCCTACAGTGAGAAGTCAAAAAATACTGCCCAAGTGCCACCGGCGATCCCCGACCTATATGTAGGAGATCTCGTTTATTTACACAAGGATCTAGATAAGTCTAAGGCCCGATCCAGGTATCTCATTGCTTCCATTGATGGAGATTGGTGCAACATTCGAAAGTTCAGTGGCACCCAACTTCGATCTAATACCTACAGGGTTAAGAAAACTGAATGCTTTAAGGTCCCCCCGTACGTTCCACTTCGTACATCTGTACTTCCACCATGTCCGCCCATCGAGTCTTATACTCCTCTCACACCTCCAGTCACACCTATTGCTCTTACGCATGATACACCAACTGTTCTTCCTGTTTCAAGTGAGTTAATGCCAGCTCAGTCTCTGCCTGCTGGAGTGCCTGCAGCATCACCAGCCGAGCAAGTTCTCCCTGATACCGTTCATGACTCTAATTCTGTGACCCCCACCCCCTGTGACGGGTCCCCTGGAGACACCTGTATTACCCCCTCGACATTTCCCACTCCGGCTGACAAACTGATTTCTCCTCCTCCCCTCAGGCGATCCTCTAGACAACGTCACACTCCCGTACGCTTTAATGATTATATATTGGATTATTAGTACAGTGTATCCAATGTGACCTTTTGCAGTTTATACTTGCACTTACTATTGTTTTTCAGTGTTAATAGGATTTTCCCGTTAAATTAAAGTTTATGTTGTAAAAAAAATAAAAAAAATAAAAAAAATAAAAAACTATTGATGGTGGGTGAGTGCACCCGATTTTGTTGGGCCAGTTTGCGGCTCTCTCTTTCCATAGTTGTTTCCCTTTCATCATGATGTTTCCGCTTGTGGTTGTAGTTTATGTTTAAAACAAATTAAGAGAAATACAAAAAAGGGAAAGAAAGAGATCACGCCAGGGTTGTTATTCAATGGTAAACAATAGTGCGCCCTCTCCCGGGGCACCGGAGTCAGCCATTGTTGGTCGATATTTACATGTGTTTGGTTCTTGCTGAATAAACGTTATAACTGTAGACTACCGTGTGTGTAATTTCATTTAAGTCGAATCTAGCCTACTGGCGAAGAAGTAAATTTATTTTTAAGATGTTTTGTATATTTCACAGCTGTACATGTCCTACTGGGTTTGAAGGTGGAAGATGCGAGATGACAAAGCGCAGCTTTGAGGGAGGGAAAAGTTACGCTTGGGTGGAGACACTTGAACAGTGTGAAGAGACAGTTGCCTCGATAGAGTTCATTACTGATGTATTGGATGGCACTCTGTTTTACAATGGGCCAATGCAAAAAAATGCAAACCAGAGGGATTTTATTCTGCTTGAGTTAGTGGGAGGTCGGCCTAGACTACAGCTGAATCTTGGCGATAATACTGTTGAACTGGCCTTCAGCAGCAATGATTTAAATCAATTGAATGATAATGTTTGGCATACCTTGGAAATCAGAAGAAATGCCCAGGTAAAGAACATAATAATATACCATATCTTAACAATTATAAAGCTAATTCCAAGCTTTCTGAATTGAAAAGGTTTTTCTTCCTGGGCAATGTTCAATCAGTTAACTTCAATCAGTGTTTACTGTAGGCACATGTCTAATTTGACCAAAATTAATCCAATGCATACAGCTAAAACTACTTGCTACAAGACATTTTTCTTTCCATTAATTACTTTTGATTTCATTATGAATGAAACTTTAGTAAACACTACTTTTTGGGTTGTCATACAATCATTTAAATAATTTAATTATTATTATGTCTTAAGATAAAGCATGAATTATTTCCATATGTAATAATTTAATTACTGCATTTTAACATAATGCAAGGTTTTCTATTTCAGTGTGCTTGCTTAAAGATAAATTTTTTAAATGATGTTTGAAAAAATTGAAATATGTTTGAATTTACAGTATGTAGAGATGGTTGTGGATCACTGCAAGTCAGCAGTTGTAGTAGAAAACAGTGGAACAAGCACTATTGATGCAACAAGCTGTATGGTCAACAAAACTGTACCAGGAAACAGGTAAAGTTCATTTCATTGTCTTAATTTTGTGTTGGTTGTAAGCATATAAATGCATATATGGTAATCAATATATTTGTTTTAAATCTTTAGCAAGCTTCTGAATTTGAACACACCACTCCAAATTGGTGGAGTAGACACAGAGTCTCCTTGGGTGTATGACCATCTGGATTCAACCCCATCTGGATTTGACGGGTGTGTTCGAAATCTGATTCAGGATGGAAAATTGTATGATTTAAGTGATAACAACGTAGGAACGTCATTCTACAATTCACAACAAGGTTGCCCTCGTACCGATGAAAATTGCATCGACAACACGGACGGAACATCATTGTGTAAGAATGGTATTTGTGATGCGGATACCAAGACTGGAGTATGTATCTGCTACCCAGGATACACCGGAGATAAATGTGATCAAGGTAACTTTTTTTTGTGTCGTTAACATGTACAAACAGGTGCTTACATTTGTGCTATCATTTTAGGGGATCTTGGCAACAATATCCAAGGGACAGAACTTACTGGAACAGTCCATTAAAGGCCTCTCCAGATAAAGGCTACATCTAAGACCTAAACAGCTATCTTTTGTTTTAATGATAATACATTTTCTACATACACATCAAAAGCTTAAAGACCACTAAAAAACTTGGTCCCAAAAAATTTTATTGGAAGAGGCCAGTACTTGAATTTATAATCTTTAAACTTTATATACATTTTAATAATGATTCTTTTTCATTCTTACAGAGACAACACCGTATGACTTTGCATTAAACAGCTTTGTTGATTACACTGTGAAACCTGCTGCTGAACTGGACACATCAGGATATGAAGAACATTACCACTCAATGGTTCGAACGTGGAAAGAAACCGGACTTGTGTGGTATATTGCTAACCTGGACACAGGGGAACACACTACTATCGACGTGAGCTGCAATGCTTTGTAATATTTGAAAAACGGATTAATTTAAATAAGAATTGTTCAGTCTTGAATATGAAAAGAAGAAAATTTGAAGGTGAATATTAATTAAGACCATTATAAACTATTTTTTTTTTTTATAATTCAGTTGTATTATTTACTTTTTAGATGGTTGATGGTACGTTGAGGCTTCGCTATAACCATGGAGAAGGTGAATATAGCATGAGCCTTCCCAACTACAGAATGAATAATGGAGCATGGCACAGTGTTGAGTATGATCGCTATGGTAACTATGTGACGTTGAAAGTTGACAGAGGTGGTGGGACTAGACAGGTGGAAGGATCTCCTGGAACGTACCAGCATATTATAGTGAATCCAGAGTCTCTACGAATTGGCGATTTATTCGGGAATGAAGTTATACTGCAGGACTTCCAAGGTACTTTACACCTTCATTAATTTTGCCATTTTATGTCACTCTATGAGTTGTTTCAATCAGTGGCGTATATAGAAGTCTTGAAGTGGGGGTGGTGATGGGGGTGCGAAGTGAAATCGGGAAATCGATGATCAGGTGTGGGCGCTAACTCGCAAAATAAAGTGATTTTAGGTGATTTTTAACTAGTTGACAATGATTTTTTGGGGGAAATTGGGGGGCGCGAGTAATATTTGGCGGGGCGTTCACCCCTCCCTCCCCCTCGCGGACCCCCTTAGATACTGCACTGTTTTTAATGGTCAATTGATTCGTTAAGCTTTGTCCCGGCACTCAATTTCTATGTGATAAATAACTGATATGCCAATATTTGGATGTAATATGACATTATCATGCCCATAGAAACATCACAAATTTATCTCATAAAATTGAAAGATAGTGAGGACAGAACATTTTGTGCATTGTGTGTGTGTATGATTTATAGTCTTGTATTTGTAGTGTTAATTGGAGAAAAAAATAATATTTTTACTAATTTTATATAAATGATATCATTAAACTTTGTAACATTGAATATTATATTAGAATATTGTTACTATATTATGATTGTTATTATTATTTTATTTTTTATTGGTGTTTTTTTATTATCATTGGCATCAATTTTTGCTATTGTTTTGTTATTGTTATTTTGTTATATTATTATGTTGTATAACATTATGTTACATTATATTTGTTATTGTTGCATGTTAGCAGTTTTAACATTCATAGCTAAAAAGTTTTAAAATATGATACTTTATCGTGCTAATGAAAACATATAATTTGGTTTCCTTACATTTTGATTATAATTTGTCATAAATTTTCTTCTCTTATCAAAGGTTGTATGAATGATCCACGAATTAAGAACCACTACTTAGGTTTCTCATCCTCTTCATACGCTGATGTGACATCGTCAAATAATGTCACTGAGGGTTGCATAAGTGATGCATGCAATGGCGTGACTTGCGATCCTCCGTTTGTTTGCAATGACATATGGCGACAATATGAATGCACGTGAGTTATGTTTTTTGAATAATATTTAATAAGTTTTTTTTTTACATGGCATATTTCCAAAAGGGGAACCTGCGCAAGTGTGAAAAAATATTTTCCCAAATTCAATTTGAACCTTTGTCTGAAATTTTAGTCATTGATGCAGGTTTTGGTAAGGCAAGCCCTAAATGTATCATTAAGTCTTATTTGGTTAAATTAATCTTACATTATTTATACAGTCAAGTTTAATACTGAATATTATTACAAATTATTGTACCATGTGTTTTCATGTATATTAATGGCGATATAGTGATAGTGACATACAAGAGCTACACTACAGACACCACCCCCCTCCCCCACCCCCGGTAGGTCACAATCCACAGTTTTCTGAAGTTGGTGTAGTGAATAGCTTACCACATATAATATAATTATATAATTAAATATATTTATTAGTCAGCAAAGCCCAGCGTGCCGTTAAAATTTTGATAAACCCAGCATGTTCCCAAATACCTACGTAAACAAGTGATTCTTGTAGGTATCAAGCCTATGACCTCCAGATAACTAGCCTGTTGTCTTATATGTCAAGTAAGGCAAAACATAATTCTCATTAATTTTCCTGACAAACACCATTGAAATAAAATGCAATTGTTAACAATGTGCTATTTAAATTTATATTTATAAATTATTTATTTTTATTTATTTATATTTGTTTATTTATTTATATTTATGTGCTATTTTCTAGTTGTCCTGCTAACACTGGAGGTGAATCTTGTACTGTGACCTGTGACCCTAACCCTTGTCAAAATGGTGGTAATTGCATTGAAGAAAAAGGTGGTGCTGTTTGCATCTGTCCAAAGGGTTATTCTGGCGATTTTTGCGGAATGGGAGAAAGGACTGGTGGGAATGGTTTATCAGGAGCAGTGATTGCTATAATTTGCATCTGTTTATTAAATCGGAAAGAACCTAAATATTTAATGAAATATTTGTTTAGCTCATTTAAAAGGATCAAAAAATAAGTTACTAACTTCCAATAAGAAACAGATTGATTTGCAGGTATATTCTAAAATCAAATATGAGCCAACCGAGGCTTTATGTAAAGGAATACAAAAAAGTATTAATTAAATTACTATTAAATTACTTAAGATTTCAAACTGTAAGTTACATTTAAATATACAAATTAAGGCAATTCAAATATAGAACCGAATTTTCAAAAAATAAGTTACTAACTTCCAATAAGAAACAGATTGATTTGCAGGTACTTTATTACGAATATTCTAAAATCAAATATGAGCCAACTGAGGCTTTATGTAAAGGAATACAAAAAAGTATTAATTAAATTACTATTAAATTACTTAAGATTTCAAACTGTAAGTTACATTTAAATATACAAATTAAGGCAATTCAAATATAGAACCAAATTTTTCATTTTTTAGCTCATGACAACAGAGAGTATAATTTTAATAAGAATGATGATAATAATCAATTATTTTTTTTATAGTCTTGCTGGTTCTTTTACTATTGTATAAAAATCAAAACTTGCGGCGGAAGAAGGCAATTCTGGAATATGAAAATGACGACCTAGCGGAGCACTTGGCATACTACGACGAAGAAGGTGGTGGGGAGGAGGATCACGCTGGGTATGATATTGGTACGTTGAGTAAGCCCATTGATCAAGTTGAGGGAAGTGTCGGAAGCCTAGAAAAATCTAGAATTCCAGTGTCTGCTGTGCCAGTTGGAAATGCTAAACCAGGTAAAGTAAACGTAGATATGAATAAAAGTTATATGGTAATGGAGGTATTAAATACTGAATCTTAATAAGACAAGCCTAATCAGTCACTCCTTGCAAAAAAATGATATTTTAGTTATTAATTGAGTGGAGTTGAATAGCTCAGTGGTTAAGATGCTTACCTTCTGATCCCAGGGTCCTGGGTTCAATTCCTGTCACAACAGGATTTTTTCTCATGACTATAAATCAACTCCACTACCTAATCCTCATAAAAAGACTTAGTTTATAAAGCATCATTCTCATCCTGTAAGTGGCGAGTGTATTTGCTGTTGAATGTGAAGGAAATAAAAAAAAAAAAAAAAAAATTCTGGGTTAAGCAGTAAAATGAAAAATTTAAACCCGACATTTCATTATGAAGTTACAGGAGTTCAAACATACAGCTGTTTAAAAAACAGTAATTGAGAAACCAGCCTTACAAGTTCATAATTTTTAACCATTTTCGGCAGAGATCATCACCAATAAGTGATAAATAATAATGATAATTAATCAAATGTGTGTAGCACTCATCCATTTTAAAGAATTGCTCAAGGTGCTTATGAAACTAAACAGCAAGAAACAGAAGAAGAAAAATGTGAAAAAAGCACAGTTAGTTTTTGGTTCAAATTGCATGGGGAAAAATACATTTTTCTTAAATTTCTTTCTCTTCTTAAATAATATTTCTCATTAAAAATACTTCATGAACAATTGAGGTTTTAATGGATATCAAGATGTTTGTGACAGATATTGTGATTTGGCCTTATAAGAAGCATGTCATATGCCCTTATATTGGTAAATTACGGGTAACATTGAAGTTTGCAATAAAATACCGTAAAACCTTGAATAGAGCCCTGCGCTCTTTTTTTTTTGTGACCTTTGGTTAGGTTTCTTTTTTGAGGCTAATTTGGCAAAGGAAAAATCAGGGGCGGATTTAGGGGGGGGGGGCGGCGCGGCCCCGGCCCCCCCCCTTTTGGGAAGTAAAAAAAAGAAAGAAAAAGAAAAAAATGATAGCCCAGAACGCTTCAAATGTTATTTTCGGACGTCTAGAACACACAAATTTTGCGGGGCATTCCCCCGGACCCCGTAGGACATTGTTGTCTCGATCGGCCCAAATTTCGGCTCCCCCTTTCGGCCCCCCCTTTTGGACATGGACATCTCTGGATCCGCCCCTGAAAATGGCAGCTTCTTTTCAAAATGAATGCTGTAAATTTTTGGAGTTACACTATAAAACAATAATTAGGGCCACTGTAAGGCCACTCTGTATCATGAAGTGTGTTAACATTCATTAAATCACCTAAGCTGCTGTATAAACCAAGAGTGTTTTTAATTTATTTTGTTTCTTTAAATTCATGTACAGTGTATGTACTGTTCTGTCTCGAAAAAGAAGCCCATGCTATCTTTGAAAGAAACCCATGAGCTTCTTTTCAAGTTGGGCTTCTTTTCGAGGCTACTTTTGCAAATTAAAAAGGGGCTTCAATTTGAGATGTGCTTCTTGAGATTAAGCCCACTGGGCCTCTATTTGAGGTTTACTTTATGTTGTAATATTCGGTTCATGAATAATTTGGCTAAATACTCTAACTTAAAACTTTTTTTTTGTTTGAATTCTTGTTTCATCAAAATTATAGTATGATACAAAGATATAATATTTCAATTATTATCAATTTGAGATGTGCTTCTTGAGATTAAGTCCACTGGGCCTCTATTTGAGGTTTACTTTATGTTGTAATATTCGGTTCATGAATAATTTGGCTAAATACTCTAACTTAAAACTTTTTTTTTGTTTGAATTCTTGTTTCATCAAAATTATAGTATGATACAAAGATATAATATTTGAATTATCATTATTTTCGTAGATGAGTCTGTTAAAGTGGCTGGCCTGTTTGATGATCGCCTGCCGAAGGTTGACGACGACCCTGACAACTCACCTTTGGATAGTCTACATTTGTACGACTACGAAGGAGAGGGTTCCACCGCAGGCTCACTAAGCACGATCAACAGCTGCAGCACCGATTCCTCCCAAGACTTTGAATATCTCAGCAATTGGGGGCCGCAGTTCAAAAAACTTGCAGACATGTACGGCGGGGGGGAAGACTGAGAGATCTAAGTCTCATTGATGATTGAATTTATTTACATTCTTACGTGCCTTTTGCTAGTTTACTAAAAAAAAAGTTTATTCGCTTTTACTTCTCAGCCGAATAAAGTAATCTAGCTATAATTATTTAATGCACACATCAAATTGTGATGGGCATAATCACCAAAGATTTTATATTTTCATTTAGTTGCATTAGTGATTGTTATAATAATATGTAATTAGTGTAATTTTTGAGGGCACTAGTTGAATAAATGTGAAGCAAAAGAGCCATTAGTGCATTTAAAATGCACTAATTTTTTCTAATCAAGACCCAAAAATCTTTTCATTAATTTGCTTAAAAAGTGAATCATGCTTGTTTCTAAACATTAAATGTACATATTTATGTGTATGCACAAACCCTTGAAGGTGTGCAAAAGCTTAAAACTTTATTGCTTAGCGCTATTGGCTTACCTAGCCATGTTGAGCCCAGGATTTCTAGCTATTTGTTTTGCAGATCCAAAATCCATATACACAGCGTCAACATATGCCATTCAATAGATATTAGTCTACAAAATAATTAAAGAACTACTATTATTTAAAACTGAAACTCATTTTTAGGCATTGGTGAATATTTGGGGTGTTTTATGTAGTGTATGAGTTAACATATGTTAATTATATGCAAGTTTATGTTTTTGTTTGTAAGATGAGAGTATTAAAAAGTTTGTATTGTTGCTTATTGTAGTACACAGTTAAATGTTTTAAATGTTAAGTTTAATATTAGGTGTATACTGTTGCTTTGATAATTTGTAGTACTAATAAAGTGCAGTATACTGTATCATTATCATCTTTACTTGGATGTCAGTATATCCAGCTTTTATCCCTTGATGCATTCTTTGTCTCATCCTAAACTAATTCCATGAGTGTTTCCAGTTCTTTTAAGTAAGTACGGGCAAGGTCTTCCTCACTTTCTTCCTCCAGGAATTGGCTCCAAAAGGAGATTTTATATGACTATAGTGAATAACTTTCTGGCTTGAAGTTTGTTTGAAATACCTTTTTTTTAAATTTGATTTGCAAAAAAACTAATGAAAAGTTTTAATGGTGTATGCACTTCCTTCTTTTCATGTAATAAACCAATTCCATAATTAAATAAAAGTTTTATAATAAGGGATATGAACATGAGTACAGTAATATATTTCAATTTCTAATGTTGTACTGTATATTTTAAGCAAATTAATACTGTAGTTTCCAACCGAATATTGAACAGGAAATTCTCTTGCTAATTTCCAAAAGTACCGTTCTTGTTTTTGCTTAAACCCTTAAACTAACTGAAATCAATTTTGTGGATTTTTGTTTTGAAAATGTAAATATGACAATGATCAATAATGAATGATAATTGCGTAAGGAAATTGTTTTGTCAATCAAATTTGCCAAATTCCTTTATATTTCACGGACTGCTGCCATGCCCATGTTTTGTCTCATAGTTATGCCGCTGATGGTATCCATATTTTTAACTGAGTGTATCTTAAGCCTATTTCATGTATTTATGTTTATGATACATGTGTAAATTGTTACTGGCTTCAGCTTATTATAGTCCAAGTGAGGATTGGATTTATCTGCTTCCAGCTTTCAAATTTGCCATTTGTCCATCTTTGCAATACTAATTAAACTAGGGAGCTATTAATATGAATAGGGCCATGATTAAACTATTAAATATATAAATGTAAATATATATCATTCGTAATGATAGAGCATTTAAGCTTTCTCCACAATGCAATGGGTTTGCCCATAATTGTATGGGTGTTGTAAGAATCATCATGCCATATTTGAGAATGATATGACATGAGCATACCCATATACGGGCAAATCACACTAATACAGTATGCAGATGTCTCATAAGTACTGTCATAACATAAGGCCAAAAAATAAAGTGTGTTGCTCAAGCACCGTGACTGATGATCTGAAATAAAATCGAGTGTTGGTATTTTTTTTTCAGAAAAAAAAATGCTTTAATTAAAAAATGAGGACACCAATATATTTGGGGTGTTTTAAATGGCTACTTTTTAGGTCTAATAAATCAATTTGATACTCTAACCATGAAGTCTATTTCGTGAATACTTATTGGATGAACCGTCTTTAAATTTCCACTTTCTTAAGAGCACCCCTTCAACAAAAATAGAACCGTCCCACTGCGACCACGCCCAACATCGTCCTCATTCATGTTTTTTTGTCTTTCAGTCTGACCGACCGCTTTCCAAACGTCACTATGCATGGAGGAAAGAAAATTCTTTCCTCCATGGTAACAACAAATTTAGGATTTTTTTGGCCCACAGTCTTTTGTGATGTTCTGTAATGAGAGTAGTTAATTTATGAATTGATACAATCTGAATTTTAAAGCATTTTTAAACTGAAAAGTGATTGTGATTTTTATAACTTAATTTTCTATTGCAATATTTTGATGTATATTTCATTGAAATTGAAAGAGATGTAATGAATAAAATTGTAAAATTTCAATTGTTTTGTTTTTTCATATTGAAATCATGCACCTTTCTCAAATCAACTCGAATAAGCACCACGCCATGTTTCACCCACACTAAGCACTGCTTTGTTAAATTGGATACATATATATGTATATTCTATACATATATCCTTTAGATGGGCACCGCTATTGCAGGTGTTGTTATATTTTATATATTAATCCTTAAAAAAAATTTAAAAAAATATAGGCACCACTACTGCAGGTGTTATATCTTATACATTAATCCTTAGATGAGTACCACTACTGCAAGTGTTGTTATATTTTATATATTAATTCTTAGATGGGCACCGCTACTGCATTAATGGCACCAGTACTGCAGGTGTTGTTATATTTTACACGTTAATCTTAGATGGGCAGCACTGCTGAAGTTATGGGCACCGCTGCTGCAGGTGTTGTTATATTTTATGTATTAAATCATTAGATGGGCACCGCTACTGCATTATGGGCACCACTACTGCAGGTGTTGTTATATTTTATATATTAATCCTTAGATGGGCACCGCTACTGCAAGTGTTGTTATATGTTATACATTAATCCTCACATGGGCACCGCTACTGCATTATGGGCACCACTACTGCAGGTGCTGTTATATTTTATATATTAAATCCTTAGATGGGCACCGCTACTGCATTATGGGCACCACTACTACAGGTGTTGTTATATTTTATACATTAATCCTTAGATGGGTACCGCTACTGCATTATGGGCACCACTACTACAGGTGTTGTTATATTTTATACATTAATCCTTAGAGGGGCACCGCTACTGCATTATGGGCACCGCTACTGCAGGTGTTGTTATATTTTATACATTAATCCTTAGATGGGCACCGCTACTGCAATGGGCACCACTACTACAGGTGTTGTTATATTTTATATATTAATCCTTAGCTGGGCACCGCTTCTGCATTATGTGCACCGCTACTGCAGGTGTTATTGTATTTTATATATTAATCCTTTAGATGGGCACCACTATTGCAGGTGTTGTTATATTTTATATATTAATCCTTAAATTTATTTATTTATTATATATTTATTTATTCTTTCTTTATACTGTAGGCACTTTCAGTACTATTACACTGATTTTCAAAGTGGTACAATTTAAACAACAAAAATATATACAATATAAAGAATTGTTTAACAAAAAATTAAAAAAATATAGGCAACACTACTGCAGGTGTTGTTATATATTATACATTAATCCTTAGATGGGCACCACTATTGCAAGTATTATTATATTTTATATATTAATCCTTAGATGGGCACCGCTACTGCAGGTGTTGTTATATTTTATATATTAATTCTTAGATGGGCACCGCTACTGCATTAATGGCACCACTACTGCAGGTGTTGTTATATTTTACACGTTAATCTTAGATGGGCAGCACTACTGCAGTTATGGGCACCGCTGCTGCAGGTGTTGTTATATTTTATATATTGAATCATTAGATGGGCACCGGTACTGCATTATGGGCACCACTACTGCAGGTGTTGTTATATTTTATATATTAATCCTTAGATGGGCACCGCTACTGCATTATGGGCACCGCTACTGCAGGTGTTGTTATGTTATACATCATTAATCCTAAGATGGGCACCGCTACTGCATTATGGGCACCACTACTGCAGGTGTTGATATATTTTATATATTAAATCCTTAGATGGGCACCGCTACTGCATTATGGGCACCACTACTGCAGGTGCTGTTATATTTTATACATTAATCCTTATGGGCACCACTACTGCAGGTGTTGTTATATTTTATACATTAATCCTTAGATCATGGGCACTGCTACTGCATTACAGGCACCACTACTGCAGGTGTTGTTATATTTTATATATTAATCCTTAGATGGGCACCGCTACCGCAGGTGTTATTATGTTTTATATATTAATCCTTTAGATGGGCACCGCTATTGCAGGTGTTGTTATATTTTATACATTAATCCTTAAATTTATTTATTTATTATTTATTTATTTATTCTTTCTTTATACTGTAGGCACTTTCAGTACTATTACACTGATTTTCAAAGTGGTACACTTTAAACATAACAAAAATATATACAATATAAAGAATTGTTTAACAAAAAAATAAAATAAATATAGGCACCACTACTGCAGGTGTTGTTATATCTTATACATTAATCCTTAGATGGGCACACTACTGCAGGTGTTATTATATTTTATATATTAATCCTTAGATGGGCACCGCTACTGCAGGTGTTATTATATTTTATATATTAATTCTTAGATGGGCACCGCTACTGCATAAATGGCACCACTACTGCAGGTGTTGTTACATTTTACACGTTAATCTTAGATGGGCACCACTACTGCAGTTATGGGCACCGCTGCTGCAGGTATTGTTATATTTTATATATTAAATTATTAGATGGGCACCGCTACTGCAAGTTGTTATACTGTATGTTATACATTCTTAAATGGGCACAGCTACTGCATTATGGGCCGCACCGCTACTGCAGATGTTGTTATATTTTATATATTAATCCTTAGATGTGCACTGCTACTGCAGGTGTTGTTATATTTTATATATTAATCCTTATTTATTTATTTATTCCTTATATTGTAGGCACTTTCAGTACAGCTATTACACTGATTTTCAAAGTATAGTAAAGTTTATAAAAATCAATATAAGAATTGTTTAACAAAAAATAAAAAGAACATATAGTATGGGCACTACTACTGCAGGTGTTGTTATGAACACCCTCAAATTAATATGAACAATATGAAATAATTGAGACAGGGCTTACAAGGTACAGTACATAGAATACTAGGTCCTGAATATTCAATTTATATTGCTACTTAATTATTCATGAACCTGCAGTAGGGTCGCCCCATATAACGCTTTCCTAAAGATATGCATCAAAAACTGAAAACCATGTTAAATAAACAGCGACCTCTATAAAGCAATCCGTACACAACGACGACGTCGATGATATCGCCGACGTGAAAAAGGCGAATACTGTAACTTGCTCGGAGAAGTTGTTCAGACTTTAGCCGACGCTTTTTAGAAGAAAAGTGTTGTACTTTATTACGAAATTCAATGTAAAGAATGTCTCAACGATTTACTGTAACCCGACCAAATATACAAGCTGACAACGAGCATGAGGTAGAAATCGTAGGGGGTAAAACCACATCTATTCAAGCAGAGAACGACCCCGCTGGAGGAGGTGCGTCAGCGAAGAATGGCAAAAAATACAGTAAGTAAAGTAGGCGGAATGTGGGATACCGGAACCGGGAAGCTTTGACAAGACTTCGGGTCTGTTAGGCTCCGGCTAGGCCTTGGCCTAGGCCAAGTCGGCGACCATGAATGTTTGATTGGAGGAAATATTAGTTAATATTTTGAAAATGTATTGTGTTGACTGATTGATTAGAGTACATGTATGCCTATGTAAAGCTTTATATAGGATTTACTCACAATAACAATGTCAAAGCCAAGGAACTCAGTCGTTTGCTGAGAAAGAATCTTCACAATCGACAAGGAAGTCTACCTAGGCTAGGATAATTCTAGAGGGGAAGGCCTAAAGGGAAGGCCTAGGCAAATGCACATTTTTTGGCGCTAATGAACTTTTGCACCTAGGATAATTTTTTTACCTTTATATGTTTTTCCCACAGTCACAATATATCATAAAACACGTTTACATTATTCAACCACTCACAAGTCACAAAAGTACTTTTTTCAACAAAAAAATACCTTACATCGATTCTGTCGCTGGACAAGGCTAGTACTAGCATGTACGACGAGCTGCTGCTATTTTGCAATCAGTAATAAATTGCAGAATGTCTACTTTTTTTTTTTTAATTCTTAAATTTTGAAACTGTTGAATGGCAGTCTAATAATTTGGATCAGAATTTTCCCATGAAACATCTGACAACAAAATGCGGCATTATACATTACTATCTTTTTTTCTTCAGAGCATCCTGTCAGGTTCTTATAATCGAGGTTCATCGAACCGCCGTTTAGCCTTAGGTTAGGGTCTGGAGTTGTTCTGCTGCATTACAGTATGCCATATTAAATATTTTTACATCTGTGTACGCCTCTAGACCATTAATATTTATTTTAGTTAGTAATTGTATTGTACATGTGATCCCATGTCATAATCAAACAACAATACCATATCATATCCAACTGAAATGACATACAAATGCAAGTAAATCAGTTTACAACTGTGCACTGAATTTAAACATTCTGGCAGTTCATTACTGATTTGCAAAATGGCAGCAGCTCATGTTAGCGAGCACACAAATGCTGATATAATGATACTTTTTGACTATGAGGAAAACATTCAAGTAAAAAATTAAGAATTAAAAGTTAGGTTCGAAAGTGCATTAGCGCCAATATTTTTATGAGATTTGTTCAGTGTATTGTACCATGGAGATATGGAATCATTTTTTATTTTATACATCCATAGACCGTGGTTGTACTTGTTCACAAACAAACTAATTACTATTACTAATAATAATAATTACATTACTATAATTCTAAGGGGTCATCCATAATTTTCAACATTTTCAAAAGAATACAAAACATACTCTTTTCTGTGACCCCCTCCCTCCCCCTGAAAGAGTACGCAACAAAATGTTGATTTGTATCTTATTGGGATCAACATTTTATATTTTTTCATGAAAGAGTACTTATGCCTACACTTTCTACCCCCCCCCCCAAGTGTATGTTTTGTACTCTTTTGAAAATGTTGATAATTATGGATTAACCCTTAAATAAAACATGAGGTTGATGTTTCCAATATACAATAGTATCCATGCAAGCATAGACCTATATGAATATATGTAATTTATTTTATGTAAAAATCTGTATGTTTATGAAAATGAATTGGTAATAAATGTTTTCTGAATTGAATAGATAATAATAAATACATTAAAATATGAACATTGTTTTGTTTTATTGATAATAATTGTGCAGGCTGTGTCTAGGGTTTAAAAAATAATTTTACTGTAACTCTTTAAATGTTACTTACAGGTACATGCCACACTGACATCATAGTGTATGATTACAGTATGTAGGACACCTTGTCCTTGACAACTTTTGTATAAATTTGAAAGAGATTTAGGAATTGACCGACGGAAAGAAGTACTGTATAGGCCTGTAAAAAGATACTTTTCGGTGGTAAAGCATTTCTCTGACTATTCCATGCCATTATCAGGTATCTTACCATACACATTTGGGGAAGCGCCTTAGCCCTTAGCCACGTTTATGCAAATTGTACAATAAAATTATTAGTTGTGAAGTTGTCTGAGAAAATTGCTAAAAATTTTTACTATATCAGAAATGAATAGAAAAGCCACAAGATTGTAATATGATCTGGAAAGCTTGTTAAAAATTGTGAAGCAATGTAAACTGCAATCCAGTGAAATGAAATGACAAGCCTGGTTCGACTACAAAGCCAATGTAATACACACAACAATAAATTTTCTTATGAAATACTTTAAACTGCCTTTGAGTTCAAATACAGAATAAGAACTTGGTTTGTAATAAATATAATATGCTTTCATGGATTATAGCCTGAAAATAAATTATAATGTCTAAAATTATTATTAACAAACAGCCTATATAGTCTGTTGATATTATATTTGTTTTGTTTTTTTAGGGAAGGGGGTATTTGGAAAAAGTTGACAGACCTAGGCTATTCATTTACTAGTCTATAGGTTGTTTCTTGTATGATAGAGGCTTATAACTTGTTATCAAAGAGGCTTAACAAAATAATCTCAGCTTATCTACCTGTAGTGCAAGTTCATTTGATGAATGTTCATAGATGAAATCTGCAATTAATTTTATGGAATGAGAAGCATTAGTATGGCAAAGCATTTTGGTGAGCCTGAAATTATCCTTTTAATGGCAAAATGCTTGTTAAAATGTAAACATTCTGAGATGTAGATGCAATGATTGGCAAATTCTCTTAGAAGTAGATGCTCATGCATCTGTACAATCTAATGCTATGGCATAATCTAATCAGGGAGATGTAAAAATATTCATCTCACTGATCTTATGAGAGCTGGGAGTGCCACTGTTGTTTCTCTAGGTGAAAGGTCAGAAGCAACTGTCTTAATGAGATCTAAAGGTTGAATTTAATGATTATGTAAATAATTGTTGTTTGGAACCAAAGAAACATGCCACTTTTTGTACACTGAATACATTGTTGAATTAATCATTTGGTTTTCTTTTTATTTACTGTTTTTGTTTTCTGTAGTCAACGCTTAGTAATAATTTCAAACTTTAAAATATACCTGGTTTACACTAAAACATTTAATGACTATCAGTAACTTTATTCGTTGCAATAATTTTCTCTATAAAATATAGCCCTTATACTGTATATATACTGTCTCTTATACACATCTCTTAAAAAGAATTTTTTGTTAAGAATTAGTAGCTTGTACCTGTACAGTACCTATTTACAATTAATTCGCTAATTATTTATAATCGAATTAAAATATATTTGTAGTGAATAACTTGTCCTAATGGAACTACAAGGTTGATCTCATAGCTCAGTTGTACAACAACTAAAGTGTAATTTGAGGGTGATGGGTGTTAATACCAATGAAAAAAAGTATAATTCTCTCAAATTTATAATAATTTGATAATTAGTTGCATATCTATGATTTGACTTGGGGAAACCAATAATATTTTTGCAATTTTGTAATTATTTTTAATTATGCAAGTCTAATTAAATGGACAGCAATTGAAACTTGATACCATTAATTTTGTTTATGGTCATTATTGGCTCGCAAAATATTCATCATTCTATGCTTGCTTAAAATCTCCATCCTGAGATAGCTTCTCATTTAGTTAGTACATGCATTATATGTTAAAAAAAATTATTAAACATTTACTGTAAGAAGTATTAACATATGTCTAGTATGTTTTGCATGGAATACTAAGAAAATAATGATAATTTTAAAAGAAAGAAGAAATTGTTTATAGGGATACAATATCTACTTGCACTTGAAAAAGTGATTAATATGATGCTACTAGAAATCTTTTTTCTATGGGTCTAATACTGTAAGTCTGCAAATATTGTAATGAAAGAAAACTAAAATTCAAATCTTCTTTTATTTTACTTTACTTAAATACTTTATTTAGCGTCCATTTAAATACAATACTGTACAACCGTGAAATACAGTGACAAGTGGAGCTCTTGCTTGTTGGTGTAATATTGTTTTTCCATGAATTCTATAGTGCTTGATTCAAAAGTAAAACAACAGGATTTTTTTTCACACCAGTAAAACAATGACTCCATTTCTTGCACCTCTTAACGAGACATAGAATGTGAAAAAAATCTAAAATACCTAAAAACAAATTACTCAAGGTTTTTCTTTAGCTTTACTGTATTTCAATTTCAATTTTCAATTTATTCAACATTGCTTCCAAAAATTTTTTTTTATCAAACCTGCCAATAGTTATTAAATAAAAATAAAATATTGGTTTTGAGCTGTTAGCGCAAACAAAAATGTAAATTTCAGGAAGAATACATTATAAAAATTATTTTTATTACATTCACCGCTGCCATGGAATTTCCCAAATAAGAAATTGGTATTTCGTCACCACAATTGAATAAAATATTAAGCATTTATCTAATTACTGAACTGTTATTGCGACATTACATTTGCATTCCTGTTTATGCAATAGCATCTTGCAATCATTATACCATGTTTAGCAAACTTGTTTGTTTAAAAACTACTAGTTTTTAAAACTACACACTAGAACAGCAGAAAAAAATTACTTTCTATTACAAAATTTTCATGCATGTGAGGAAACAATTCTGTAATGATATGTGAGTGTATGACGTTAAATTCATTGGGGTGCCCTTAGGCCCTCATTTGAGATCCCATCTCGTGGTCATAAAAACAATGCAATGTGGTGAAATTAGCAGTTCAGTAATGAGAATGATAAGTCTTTATTTAATTCTGAGAAAAAAAAGGATAAATGTTTTAAGAGAAGATTTATAGTAGCTGTGGTTGGTGGGATATAAATAATAATTTGTTTATAGAGTAGCAGGTACACTAAGAGGTGAAAAATAAAATTATATTTTCATTCAAAATAATCATTGAAAAGTGGCTGGTTTGCCAAACAAGATATGATTTGTTTTGCTTAATATGAAATGGGTGTTTAGGTGTGGAAAGGTGACACTGTGTTTTATGGCTAGCTTTGTAGGGACATTAAAAAAATGAATTAAATTTTTTTCAAAAGAGTAACATTCTTTCTCATTCTTTCCCCCTTGTTATTTTTTAAAACATTTTATCATTTGTTCCCCACAATTAAATTTCCATAATTTTAACATAATATTATTATTTTATTTCAATTTTTCATTTTACTTTATTATTAACTATATTTCTTTATACATTTTCACAGCAAGGTTGATTGACAGTCGTGGCGGCGATTTTTACGGTAGTTTTGCTGGCTACAGTAAGTTTGTGACGTTACGAGAGCTTCCTCCGCGTAGCATTTTTATCACTGTGGACACGCAAATCACCGTGCTTATCTTTAACGTTCGCTGCATTCTATTGCAATCACACTCATTCTAACTCACTTAGTTTTTTTTTTTCTTATTTTTATATCTGTATACATTCATTGTCTATGCCACTACTATTTTTTAGATAACATAACTGTAAAAATGTTGGTGATAAGTTCTCTAATAATCTTATCAGTTTGATTTAGAGTGTTAAACAAGATTGAATATTGCATGTATTAATCTTAAGGCTTCTCTAACTAACACTATACTGTATAATGGTCCAAAAATATATTAATTAATGAAAAATACACAAATAAATTTATAAAAAATGAAATTTATATTTAATAAAATTAATAATGATAGTTGTTTTTGAATGTTATTTTACTGCAGTTTGTGTTTCACTAAAAAAAATTTTCACAAATATGCCTAAATATTTACATGTCATACTATGGTATATATTATAGATGATTCTGTTTTTTAAAAAAATGTTGCATTTTTGCGGTGAAGGAAATTAAAAGTATTTTAAATCTGTATGGTTCTTTGAGAAGCACAACACATATTGGAATATAGTACACATGTTAATGATTCTTAAATGAAAAGTATTTCTGTTACCTTGAATTTTTGATCTGCAAAATTAAATTTTTTAGATTTTTACATTCTTTTGAAAGGATCTGTCATAATAAATTACAAAATTACATGACTGTGGCATGATTTATTTTAATCTCTTTCATTTGAAATTTTACTATTCAAAATTGGTTCAATTTATATCAACAAATTATATGAAAAGGAATATTAAAATTACTTCATAATTAACTGTATTAAACTATTGTATATTTTGAAATATCTGTTATTTATAATCACTGCAGATTTTTTAGTATTTAATATTTTGTTTTGTGAAAATTATTCTATATAAATTAGTTGTTGGATGAAAAATATTTTAATAAAATATCGAAAATGAAACTGAAATAAACTTAGTGAATTTATATTTCATTACAAGCATAGAAATGCAATTATAGGCTTGGTTTATTAACAGGTGAATGGTTGAAAACTGTTGTAAGGTATCTTAAGACAACTCAGAAAATGTCATCGATGCAGCCTATTGTGATTTGTTGTCGCGTCAGGTCTGTGTGAGTTAAATGCTGACGCAATAGATCTGCATCGAGGACAACCGTGTCGCAGAATATTAAACAGGTTTAATATTCTCATGGTGGCCTAAAGGCTGTCCCTGGCGATAAATTGCTCCGGGCTGTGTCGTACGTCGCTGTCTGAGTTGGCTTTTGTTTTACTTGGGCTCTTTGCATTGAATCCTTAAAAAAGGCTCTCACATGTCACACGTTTATATAAATGCCCAATTGACTAATCTGGATGTTTCCCAAAGAAGGCAGTGAAATCAGTTACAATACTCGTTTTAAATTTTTTGTTTGTTTAACTGGTAAATGTAATTTTCCATTGTTTCTTGTCTTTATTTTTGTAAGGTGGATGTTTTATTTTTGGCACGGTTGTGGATAGACAGGTTTTTTTTTTCATAAATATCCAAACGTCCTGTAAAGCGTGGTTCTTTCTCAGTTTGGTCAGACAGTATCTTTAAGCTTAGGATAAATATCATGGAAATTTCTTAAATAATTTAAACCTTAACAGAACAATCCAATATTCATGTACATCATGTATCTACAATTAGTAACACAGCTGTAGGGCATTTTTAGTAACTAACTCTGTCGAGGAGATAAGATAATAAGGCTTTAGATTTTGAGGGAGAAGGTCGGTTCAGGGGTCTCTCTTCTGGTTCTTCTCTCAACCTTGTAGTTGGAAGTTGAAACATCATCCTGTCCACTTTTGGACAATTGGAATGTCAGGTATCTTTTTATTATAATATACATTTTTATATATTTAGTTATATTTATTCATGCCAAATCATCTAATTTTTAGGGAACCTTAAAATATCATGTTTGGAGCTTACATGTATGATGACAAGCAAGACAATTTTCAAACCATGTATTTTATGAGTTTGACCAATAAATTAAATTTGAATTGAATTAAAAACTTAAGTGTTTTAATCAATAAGTGATAAGTTTGTTTCTTAAGTACTATTTTGTGTCAGAATATATTCAAATTTTGTTGGCATTCCAAAGTTTTAACGTTGGTGATTACTGTATTATAATTTTGGCTTATTATATTATAATATGCAAAAGCAAATCTTAAACATTAGCGAAAAGTCTCAGTGTTCTGTATATTTTGTATTATTACAATATTGTTATTTTTGTTATTTCATAATATTGATGTTATTACATTATTCATTGTTGTTATTACTCTACAGTATTGTTATTGTTGTTGGTGTTTTAGTATTAATTAGTGTTAGAATTAGTATTATTATTAACTTATTTTATGTTGTTGATTTTTACAGTACATAATATTGTTGTTGTAGCTTTATTATTAACAATATTTTTTATAAGATTTTAGTTATTTTTTATTAGTTTTTTTAAGTCAGACTCCGGAGGAAAAAACATTTTTGATATGTTGTAGAACTGATTTTTGTATTGACAGAAAAATGTAGTTTGATCAAAAACTGTGCAACGGTGAATGAGATACAGATTTTTGAATATTTAAAAACTGGGGAAAAAAGGGGCGTAACCGCCCATTTTTACACCTTTTCCCCCAGTTTTTAAATATTCAAAAATCTGTATCTCATTCACCATTGCTCAGTTTTTGATCGAACTACATTTTTCTGTCTTAAAAAAATCAGTCCTACAACATATCAAAAAATTGTTTTCCACCGAAGCCTGACTTTAAAAGTTACATGGATTGTTACACAGTAATAATACAGTACCTACCAACATAGCATGAAAGTACAGTATATGTGAACAAGTGATACAAAAGCATTGCATGGCACCAGCGCTAGCATGTAACTATGCATCGTGTATTCAAACGTTGTACAGTGCTGTACATAGTATTGATGTGTTGTAGTTTTCTTGTATTGATGTTATATGGTGTTTCTCAGATGGTTTTAAAGACAGCCGTAGCAAGACATCCAACAGGAGGTACAAGAATGCAGGTATTGAGTCAAGCATGCGTCCAGCATTGTAGATAAGCAAACACTCAGTATTGCCCTAGGAAACTGGGACTTTAGCTTCTTGAAAGTGTACAGTATATTAAGTAGGTTTAGATTCCAAGGAAAAAACTTGGATATTAATGGATATGTAAAGGATACCTTTCGTGTATTCTTTTATATAAACCCACAATTTGGCTGGTATGTTAATCAAAAGATTTTTGTGGTGAAATCTCTGTAAATATGTGAAAAATTTTGTTTGAATTTTTTTTTTCTGGTTTAAAAGTAATAACTTAGTATTGATTCTTTCAAATGAGCTATTTATGGTTTAATTGAATTTTGGAGATATTTTCCTGTATCTTTGGCAAGCAATATGGTATCTTTAATACCTGTAGTTTTCACAATAGCAAAATCTGTTTAAATACTTGTTAACAAATTTATTTAAAAAAATTATTAGGTGCAATCCAATTTTCTCCATTCAAGTGTACAGTATTTTACATCTGAACTTCCTAGTGATTATGCTCCGATTCTACTCAACCTAGTAATTTAAAGCAAAGACTATAAATCTAACGTTGTTCTCTATTTGCAGCAATAACTATTTGTTGTAATAATAATAATTTATTGAACAAAAACTTTCGTTACAGTGGCACTCGTCAATTCAAAACCAAGAAAATTACAAAAAAAGAAGTTACATTGAAATTAATACTAAAAAGCACAAGCACAATTCTTCAATGATATTTGAAAGAACCTTCCTTTCATAACTTAACTACAGAATAAATACAATATCAAAATTTCAAAAGTAATATCATTGAGTCAAAAACACTTAAGTATACAAATACAAAGCAGATACAGTAGTGAATACAGTACTTTACTGTACTGTACTGTAGGCCTATACATACATACAATATGGTAGGCATACATGCATGATACATTCATATACACCAGCGCGCACACATATTTTAGATATTTACATACAGACATGCATACATACATTCAATAACTTACATACTACACATACATATCCTCCCCCCCCCCTACCCATACGCATTCACGCATACACACACACACACATACTAGCATACTGTACTTACACAGTCACACACCTAGGTAAACACAACCCAATAAGAGAAAATTTAAAGTATCAAATTAGTTCTAAGTTGCAACATAGCAAAAACATTAAAGAATGCAAACTTACATAAATGTTTATATGTACTGTACATGTTTTGTATATTGTGTTTTGTTTTTATGTTGTGTTTTGTACAAAAAGATTCATTGTAGGACAAAACCTCACATTTTACATTCTGGAATATACTAATTCACACATTTATTTGTCTAGAAATTTGGTACAGTAGTTAAATTTTATTGTCTACCTTGTGATGTGAAGATAGTGCCAATAGGTTTCCCATCAATGTCATAACTAGTTTTAAAAAGTTGGTATTGAAAGTTTGAAGAATTGAACTAGTTAACATATGTCCTGATTCAAAATGTCATCTGAAACTAAACTCTCCCTCTTCAAGATGTTCTGTCGTGTTGATCCATCTCTCTTGAGGTATTCTTGCCTTTTGACGATAATATCTTTGTCTACAATTTAGTATTATGAGATTTTGCTAGGAATTAAAAGGAACCTTCCACTTGCTATCCATATGTATGTCATATACTATATATGCCATATTTCATGTATTGTGTATGTTGTATATTATAGCCATCATATTCATATACCATGTCATATATGGTGAATGACATCTTTATGAATATGTCATATACCAATACCATGCCTTATGTCATATATTGTATGTACTGCCTATGTTACAGATCTTTCACATATCATGTCATACTACTGTATGGCTTCAACACAGTACATTTTATGCCGTGTACAGTATTACTCTACATATATGGTATATATAATACAGTATGTCCAACTACTAATCTTAAACGAGGTAGATTTAAACCCAATGAACTACCATACTGTACTGTAAATACCAACTTTTTCCAATGCCTCCAGTTGGTAATACACGGCAATAGTGATCAGTGTATGAAAGTGATACAACATGTAATGTTCAATCCACTTTCATTAGAACCAAATCCTACACAAGTCTAAACACAAAAACCAGGTAACAGTTTTCTAAGGTTCTGTCCACATTATCAAATTTTCTTTGACAAAAAAACTGTTGTATGCCCATATATAGTCATGATGTGCCTATATATGGTCATGATGTGCCTATATATAGTCACGATATGCCTATATATGGTCATTGTGTGATGTCATCATGACCATATTCAATGACCATATGTCACAGGTTTTTTTCAAATAAAATTTTATTGTCTGGGCAAGGCTTGATAAAGTGTACACATTCTGTTCTGTTATATATTGATTTCTAATACAATATTTCATTTCAGTGCATTGTTCTCATTATAGTGTGTGTAGTTCATTATTACAGTAGAACCATTTTGACGTGTATTACTAGTAACATAGTGTTATACTGATTCTGTGACTTTTATTAGTACTAATTGTATTATGCAGTAGTTATGCTTTTAGAAAAATGCTTTGAAATTGTTACAGCATGTTCTGTATATAGTAGTACTAAAATATTAATTGTAAAAAATATGTTTAGGAATGTTTATATTTGATGATTATTATTTACTGGTATACTAATGATAATACCTTCGTGAGTTTTGAAAGTTAGACAATTGAGGTCTTCATTTGATTACAAAGCTAATAATTATATTACAATGGTTTTCTCTTTAGAAATTTAAGATTTGTTTGATTATTGTTTTTTGTTACAGAATAAAAGCGCAGCTTAAAATTTAAAATTAACTTGATTGAACTTTGCTTTACAGGTGAGGAGGGTGCCCCCTTTGTGAATGATGCAGAAAAAGGTGTCACTAACGACGGCAATTTGGCCCTCTATGAGGTAAACTTTTATGCTTTGCTTATGCTACTTGAATGAAATGTTTATTGTTTATTTTAAACCAGGTTGCGGAGGAAAAACATTTTTTGATATATTGAACTGATTTTTTCAAGATACAACAAGTGTAAGTGTAAACGAAAAATTTGGAAATACAGATTTTTGAATAATTAAATAGTAGGTTAAAATGTGGTGTAACCACCTATTTGTCCACAATTTTCCCCTAATTTTGGCTTTACTGTTAAATCACATTTTGTTTTATTTATTACAGGTGTTGTGTTATTAATATTGTTGTTTTGTTATGTAAATTAACATTTGTAATAGTATTATATTGTTATGTTGTTTTTGTGTTGTGTTGTTTTGCTGTTGTTATTAATTATTGCTCGCCATAGTGAATGTCACACAATGTGTAGTTTTTTTATGCGGTACCAGTGCATACTATAATATGTGCCCTACTTCTACATCACTAAACAACATGTAAGTATGGATTTCTACTTTACCAGTTTTATAGTCGCAGTCAAGTGTGTACCATAACAAAATGTTTTATAGGATTTTATGATTTCAGCTGCTATGGGCCGGATCTGATTGGTTTCTGAGTTTTGTTTATGTTGAGAGGAATGGAACATGATTTAAAGTAGAATGTAATATGTTATATTAAATTTGACATTATAATTATTTAACTTTTATTAAAAATGATATTGCCAGTTGAGCTATAATAAAATTGAACAATATATTTTTGAAAATGTCAGATCTGTGCATTTTATTGATATTTTATTACCCTCTAGACTTGAATCTCATGGAAGAAACTCTTTTTGTGTATACACATGTATACATGCAGTTTGGCCTCTGTGCCACGAGGTATATTGTGTTGTTGTAGGATAGGCTAGCTAGATGCCATTTTCACTAGAGTCCCTGTGCGAGTACTATTCCAGCGAGCCTTTAACCTTAGGCTTCAAAGTGCTTAAGAACAGAGTAGTAAAAATGATACTACTAGTACTGCTTTCTTGCCATTTTCATTGTTTGATTTCCATGTAGCATTAGGATATTTCATGGGTACTTTTATTTTCGTTCATGTAAAGCGCATAGAAGCAATTTTATTGTATTATGCGTTATATTAGACTTTTATTATTATTATTATTATTGTTATTGTTATTGTTATTGTTATTATAATGATTATTGTTTTTGTTTGTTTTTTTTTTTAGATGTGGCTTTTTACAAATAAAGATAATAATGTATTTACTATTGGAATGGGTTACTTGGTAAATTTAGACTCATTGAGATTTTGGTATCAAACACCTCTGCCTATATATCTCACTACATCATAAATACATTCATACTATACATTAAGTTATTAGTTTTCAATTCATGTGAAAAGTAAAATAAGAAACTATTTACACGTCAAGGAAGAGTACAATAATGTTACAGATATTCCTAAAAAAATAACTTGTCAGCATTTTCATGATGGGGTACTTCTTTATAAATTGGCGGGTAATCACTTTAAGGATTTTAAGGATTCTACCGACATTAAAGTTATCTTAGATCCCAATCTTTTTAAACGTGCACTAAAGACTTACTTGTTTGCCTATGAAGCCTCTTTTTGCTGCATTTTCCATTTGTGTTTTTATTGTTGTAATCTGTTTATTTGTCTTTGTTGTTTGTGTGACTGTACTATTGTAATGCATGCGGTTCATGAATAATGACTGATTTTATGCCTTACATTGTTTTCCTCAATTATTGAGGCTTGGCTTGGGCTTCATAACCGCAAGGGAAAGGCACAATATAAATACCAAACACCAGTACCAGTCTTTAAAGATTGCTAGTGCTACAAGCATTAATGCAATATAAACTGTCTAGCTAAAAAAATCGTGCACTGCCTGAAGCAGACGTAGGGCTAGGTAAACCTTCATTTGAAATTTCTGGATTTGATACGGGTAAAATTTCAATTATTCTAAAGATACTGTACTGTATATAAGAATTATTTTCCAACTTTTAATGAAAATGTATTTCCTGATCAGATCTGTTTAATTATCACCTTTGAGTGATAACTTAGTAAAAATCCATAAATATTGATATCTCAGGTAGGATTTCTACACAGGTGATTCATCTTGCCCAGGTGTTAACTCACCATTTTTATGCGCGTGTTCCTGATTATGAGTATTAATTCTACGTGTCTGATGCTCTGGCCTTCAACTATCTAGGCAACAGTATTTATGAATTGAGCTTGCATAATGCTACTCATAAAATTAAAAATTCAAGGTTCAAAGTTTATTTACATAGAGAACATAGTAAAAAAAAAACGGCAGAGGAAAACCAAAAGAGCATATCTTGATATTTATGTTTATGACTGCATGTGTTGGAATGCAATGTAGAACATGCACATTTTTTTTTCTCATTTTATCACCTAATCATGATTTTGAATAAAACTATTTTTTAAAATTTTGGTCTGTTACTAGTACATTCTCTGCCAAAAAATGGAAATTTCAGGGAAAAAAATTGCTTTCCAATAAGATAATACATCTTTCCCACGATTAGATAAATTCAATAAACATAAAGCATTTTTCTAATTACTGAACAATTTTCATTGTAACGTCACATTCTATATGTCCAGGAGATAGGATCTCAAGCAAAGGTTGAAGTTCATTCTTTGTTGTTTTTAATTTTTTTTGCATTATTTTATGATAAAGTTGTATTTTTGATTTCTCCTCTGCCTATATGCCTTTGACAATTTTTTTTATTTGCTAAATAAGAAAACAACATGTTATTTATTAATTTTTGCCAACCGTCTTTCAAAAATATATTTTATTCTTGCACAATTTAGTTTTATTATCAAATGATAAAGAGTAAGTCTCTCTAATAATATGATGGATAAAACTTCTATACCACATGTAGAGGTTTGGGATATTTCCCAGTAGATTTTATACCATAGATTGTAGTCTGTAGTCTGTGTCTATTATAGTGTTGTTTTAATTATTTAAGCAGAAGGCCTGGTCACATGAATTAAATTATAAACAATATGTTTAATTTATTGTATATATTGTGTTTATTCTCATGAATTATTTTCACAGTTTTCTGATTTTCTTCCATGTTTACAAAATATTATTCATTAAAAAAATGAATGAAATTTGTTTCAGAATTTTAAAAACCGGTTAATTTTTTTTTCTTACAGGATGATTTTAAGCACAGGCCGAAAATATCCTCATTACTGAATACATTGGCCAATTACAAGACACTGCCAGAGCATACCCAAGAGCCAGAAGGCAGAGACAAGCAAGTAAAGGTACACTAAAAATGATAATTATTTGTAGAAATAAAAATTATAGTAATAATAGGTAGTCCAGCATTCATTACTAAGCATGGTGGAATGAGCTGTTGGCTCATCGTACTAAGCGTCAGCATTGTGTGGTAGGGTGGCCACTTCCTTTCCCCGCCGTCTTTTTCTTCTCCCATAGTAAAATGCCAGGTACCCATATATGCTTCTGGGTGGAGAGGAACAAATTTAGGCCAAGTGCCTTGTCCAAAAACACAAGCGAAATGCATAGCAAAGGGTCGAACCTCCGACCTCGAGGTTGAGAGATCAAAACTCAACTGCTGCGCTTCCACAATAATATGAATGGATTTATATGGCACAAATAAAAGAGGTCAGTTTTATATATTCTGGAGTTGCATATATTTTTTTGTACAGCTCCTTGTAGAATGGCTTAGAATATAACATGCTTAATTACAGTATTAGGAAGTGATTGATAATGATCAAAGCATTTCCTTTTAAACTACATAATTCAAACCATATGATGCCTATTAATTCAATAATTTAACAAAGCTTTATATTCTCCATTTATGGTCACCAGTGTTCTAAAATTTGATGATATATAATACATTAAATATGGCTTTGTTAAAGCAAGGCTGCAGAGGAAAAATATATGTTGTACAACTAATTTTTCCAAGACAGTTTAGGGTGTTTGATGAAAAACTTGGGAATGGTTAATAAGATATATAGATTTTCAAATATTTGTAAATGGGGGTGGGATGGGGACAAGGGGCATAACCACCCATCTTCTTGGAGTTTGCTATTGTATAATTAAACTATTTTTTTGAACAGAATGCAGCACCTCAGATGGGAACTTTGATGGGTGTATACCTACCTTGTCTGCAAAACATTCTCGGCGTTATCTTGTTTATCCGTTTAACATGGATTGTAGGCAATGCTGGAGCACTTGAAAGTTTCTTCATTATACTCATTTCATGTGCAACCGTAAGCTATAACTTTTCCTCCATCAATAGATGATAAGGCATTCATTTAATATGCTTCACTAGTTAAATATAATGATGCCGGTGATGATGATATGAAAAACAATAATAAGACTGTCTTATATACACTTATTTTATACATTATATATTATACAAATATTGACTGTTCATGAGGGGAATGGTGAAATCTATTGTGGATACTGTAGCCTATCTTCCCAAGGGCTATGGTCTACGCATCACCGAGGGGTTGTAGATTTCACCGTTCCCCAAATCTAGAGCAGTCCATATTTGTTTTAAATGCCTCATACATAGGTTCTACAAGACCTAAAGAGTAATGGAAATAGTACATACCAAGTAAGCCTAGGCTTGCTTCCTAGGCCTAGGCGGTCAAAAGGCCAATCTCTCTCAGCATCGTAGAGGTCGCGTATCCTTTACCGTTTGTGCGCCTCATAAATTACATAGCAACATGGCCTAGAGATTGCACATCGCGTGGCAGGGCAAAAAAGTACTATTCCATAGGGTAACAGTACATTTTATTGCCTGCTTCTTAACCAGTCAGATGCCTAGAATCTATATGCAGTATATAATTCTTTTTATGAATTTTCATATTATTTTAATTATATATATATATTATATTATATATAATAACTATATTATATTATTTCCCAGACTTCTTTAACTGCCATCTCAATGAGTGCGATAGCAACAAATGGTGTTGTTCCAGCTGGAGGTTCGTATTTTATGATCTCCAGAGCTCTAGGACCCGAGTTCGGTGGCGCTGTTGGTGTCCTTTTCTATCTTGGTACAACATTTGCTTCCTCCATGTATATTCTTGGTGCCATTGAGATCTTGCTTGTAAGTTTTAGTGTACAAAATTGCTTAAAATTCACTGTTTGTGTTAGTATAAAACGGCAACAAAATAAAATGTATATATATTTGAATTGTTTACCTTGATATTGACTTTTTTTTTTTTTTTAACCTTTTCAATATCTTCATCCGTACTTCTGTGACGCTGTCGTCATCAATTTCGTGGAAAGATTGCAAACAAGCAAACCTGAATTTCTAAACACATGTTGGTTATGAATTTTTGCATACATTTATTATTGGTCATGTAATTGTGCTTTATTGCTTGAAAACATTTTTGGATAGATATTAAGGCAATACACAAGAACTTTATTACCCCCCCCCCCCCCCCCCCCCCCC